CGTCTTCAGCTTTGTTTTCTGTCATTAATATTTCAAATCGCTTCATTGTGGGACCCACTCTGTCAGTGGTAACTCCAGAAGTCAAAAACAGTGGGTTTCTCAGGAGGATGGCCTTATGCAAGATCTCCACTTCTGCATCTTATAGTTCAATGACATTCACCATTTTATAAGCAGGCATTGCTGTGATACTAGAAAGCGCCAATAAACTTAGCTTTTTAATAAGTTGAAAAGAGCTATATAAATCAAAAGATTAGATTCAGACTACCCTTACATTGAATATTAAGGGAAAAAAATTGTGTGTGTGTGTGTGTCAATTGAAAGGAAAGAAAATGAAATTCTGAGCCAGATACCCTGGTGGCGTGGTGACTTAAGCAATGGACTGCTAACTGCCAAGTCAACGGTTCTAACCCTACCCCCACCCCCCCACCCCCGCCACCCAGAGGGAGAAAGAGTAATCTATGCAACTGTTCTACTCTGTCCTCTAGGCTCGCTGGGAGTCAGAAGGGACTTCATGCAGTGGGTTTGTTAATCGCAGCTAGTATGACTGTCTTGCTTCTATTCTTTAAGCTCCGCACAGGTTCTTGCTGTTTGCCTGTTGGTTTCCTCAGTGCCTGCAGTGGTTACCCAGTTGCCATGGAGTTGACTATGATTCATGGCCACATCATGGTGTCTTGAGTAGAACCATGCTGCACCGACGGCTCATGACTGATGCTTCAGAAGCAACTCATCAAGCCTTTACTTCCGAGGCTTCTCTGCATGCACACAACTGTCCAACCTTTCAGTCAGCTGCCAACTGCACTAGGCATTGACACCACCAGGGGTTATGGGAATTGTAGTTGGTACTGAAAAAGGGGAGGGGGGCGGAGAAAGCAGAGAATTGATTTATCATGTTAGGGGGAAAAATGTCTTTTTTTTTTTCTGGAAATAACCAAAGGATATTGAACAATTGACCGTACAGTTAGCGCCCGACACGTGACTCACTAGGCCACTGAGGCTTCTTGGACAGTTGGAAAAATAAAAGTTTCTTCTAGCCCACGTCTGAAGCTAATACTCTGAATGACCCAGCCTTGGCAAATATTCACTTGATAGAAGGCAGAATTTTTAGATTAAAAAAAAATCCATAGTTTTTAAATACCAAAAATTTGTTGTCATTTCATTTGAAGTGACCTGTTCTTTGGACTCGGTTCATTTTTGGACCAGCACTCGGTACCCTTCTTTGCTTGAAATCCAGATGAAAGGAGCCGTGTTCTGATCCCTTCCTATCTCAGCCCAGCAGCGGCGGGATTCTACCCAACTTCCGAGGAAGGAGACGATGGCAGCACCAGCCCACTGGCTGCATCCCCCCAAGGGAGTCATTTTCTAAGAAACCTGGGCGATCCTTTGAGCCAGTACAGTATGTACTGCTTGGAGCTTCAGCGCTCAGGGGCTTAGTCCAAAGGAAAGCAGGATTCTCTGCTGAAGGGGGGCCTTGGGTGGCAAGGACCTTCTCCCAGCTGCTTGAAAAGTTGGTCAAGCCCCAGCCCCAGTTGCAGTCATGTCAACTCCAACTCAAGGAAGCCCCTTGGTCAGAGGAGATCTGTGCTCCACACGGATTCCAGGGACTGGTTTGTCGGAAGGTCTTTTTTCTGATGTGTCTGTAGGGGGACTCGAACCTTCCACCTTTTGCTTAGCAGCTGAGTTAACCATTATACCACCTGGGACTCCAGAGTTCAAGAGTTGGTTGTTTTTCTCATTTCTAAGGAAGAAACTCTTTGTTCCAGGGAAATAACACATTTTCCATCTTTAGCTTTCTAGATCCATCTCCACATAGTTTCATAAATTGCTTGCTTTCAAAGACATTCTGGTCTCCTGGACTTAAATTTTTTTTTTTTTTTAAGGAAAGCACCTGTTCATTTCAACATGACTCTGAGCTAAACCAGAGCATTCTTTCTTAATAGCTTTGCTCTTTAAAAGAACCCATTTAAATGTCCACACGTAGTGTGCTCGTGGTTACAAGTCATCTAGACTTACTTTTGTAATAATAATAATGCCTAGTCAAAAACCACCGCCATAGAGCCAATTCCAACACATCGCCACCCTATGGAACAGAGTCTCGTGTCTCTGGTGCTACACATCTTTACAGGACCAGCCAGACGCACTTTTCTCCCACAGAACGGTTTATGGATTTGAACCACTGACATTATGGCTAGCAGCCAGCACACTGCATCACTAGATTGCAGTCAGAATGAACTCTCACTACCATTGAGTCACTTCTAACTCATAGTAACCCTTTAGAACAGAGTAGAAGTGTCCTTGTGGGTTTCTGACACAATATTTTGTTTTTTTAAATCAGTTTATTGGGGGCTCGTACAGCTCTTATCACTAGACTGTGTGTGTGTGTGTGTGTGTGTGTGTGTGTGTGTTAGGGAAACAAAACTAGTGGCATTCATGTGTGTGTAAGAAAGAACTTGATATCAAAGAGCAATTGTACATTAAGAAAACATTCCAGCTCAGTCCAGATCAAGCCCATAATAGACTAAATCTTTACAGGTGTAGAAAGCCTCATCTTTTTCATGTGATCTTTTCAAATTGTTGACCTTGCAGTTAGCAGCCCAAAGTCTGACCTACTACAGCACTACAGCTCTTCATAATAATAATAATAGCTACCATGAATGCAGCACTTACTGTGTGCCGGATGTGCTGCTCAGAAAGCTGGGGTTCCAAGAAGGTTCAGTGACTCACCCAAGGGCACAGAGCTAACCATAGACACAGAATGCAACCTAACCCAGACAGAGCCCAAACGTCTTGCTCTTCCCCACAGTGTTATATGTTCAGGATATAAAAAGTCATCTCCAAGCCGACTGGAAGTTCCTGGAAGCCTGGAGCTACACCTTAACAACTTGACACCTTAGCCTGGCAGCATCCAGCAATGGGACTCAATACATTCAGCAAGCTTCTTTAATTTTTTTAACTCCACTATTTTCTATCATCTGCACAATTTACTCTTTTACTTGAATAAGCCATGGGATCATTTTTTTTCTCATCTGAAAGCCACATAGCGGGGCCCATTTAACATTGGGGATGCTGCCCTGATCTGCCAGTGAACAGAGGGAGGCTTGGGGAAATGGCAGTAAGAGTGAAGGCTCCCTGATGGTCCCAATTCAGAGGCCACTCCAGATACCCCACCCATCACAGCTACCTTCCCCTGGGCCAGAAAGTGCCTGCTGCCTTTCACAGACCAATACCAAGCTGGCGACAGTAGAATCTGGCAGAGGAGGAGGAAGGAATCGGGCTGGACCACACCGCGCAGCATTGATGGTGTGCTGGCCAGGACTGCACTGCTTCTTTTGTCTTTTATTGGCCATCACTATGGTAGCAGCAACAGGAGCTGTGGATGCATGCTCTCGAGCCCCTGCAGAGCTGAGGGGGGCTGAGACCCAAGTAGCATGCCCGTGGTGTGCTGGGCAGAGTTGTTGATAAGCTGGGGCTATGTCACTCTTACCAGGTAAGAAGGAGCCAGTGAACCCAGGCTGGAAGCCCCACTCGCGTGGTCTATAACTGGGTTGAAGCATGAATATTGTGCCAACCGCTGTGCGTGGGTAAGTGGGCTTCTTGGTTGGGACCTGGCTGAAGCACAATAACAGGTCAGGCAAGACCAGGTGCAGGGATTCAATAAAGCAGGAAGAGGAGATAGGTACTGCAGTAGATGTGGAGCAGACCACTCAGGCGGCCAAAGAACTGAGTTCAGAACCAAGGGAAACAAAAGAGAAGATGGGACACCAAGAGTTGAGTCGAACAGGAGCAAATCCTAGGGAGGCCTCCTGGGAAGGAGAGCTTTACAGCCACACGTGAGTGTGGCAGACAAGTGAGCCCCTCCTTCCTGGGGCACATGCCAAGGCTGGGCATTTAGTAAAGCTTCTCGGGGCAGAGCAGAGACAAAGGTGCTTTTCATTGCACATCCCTCTGGAAAAGTGCTAAGAGGAGGTCAAAGTCAGCTGTGTGAAAGACCTGTCTTGGAGACCCTGATAGATCTGAGGCCCAGAGTCCATCCTTAGAGCCTCCATTTAGAGCAGAGCCTGCTTGCCCTCAATGACTGATAACTCATGTCAGAGACCAAGGAGAATATGAGGGGGGGTTGTGCTGAAAGGGAGTGAGTTAGTTTATTGTGTCAACCTGGCCAATAAACACAGGTGGGGTTAATTGAAGGGTGGAGGGATAAATAGCTCAGTGAGTCTCGCCTTTCTCGTTCTTGGGTCTCTTGCTTTGTGATGGTCGGACCAGGGTGCAGCTGCCCTTAGCAGTTCCCAGCTTCAGCTTGCAAGGCTGACTTCCTGCAAGACATCCCCAAGGAGAAGCCACATGGACCTATCCCGATGCAGCCCTGGGTGCTGGAGCACCCATGTGGAGACCCCTGCCAGCGCTGAGATGCTTACACATTCACTGACTCGGCTTTCCTCCTGCTGTTGGCATCATAGGTGTGTGTTTTGTGAGATGGAGGAGGACTTTGTGGACTGGTGTTGGACATATGGGTTAATATTGGACTTGTGGGCTTGGGCAGCACTGGGTTGGGATGTTTTCTTGATCTGCACTTAAAACTCTCTCTTATACATGAGTTTCTGTGAATTTGTTTCTCTAAAGTACCCAGACTAGTACAGGAAGCATTGGTTAGAGAACCAAGCTTATATTTAGGCGTGTGAAAGGGGTTGGGGGTAAGGGAGAGAGAGAAAAAGACTCCAAACCAGAGACTGTGACATCAGACGAGAAGCCTGAGCGCACAGCCTGGTGGTCCACAGCCTTGGGAGGTGAGGAGAACCCCCGAGAGAGCAGGAAGAGCCCTCTCTGAGGCTCACAAACCTGAAGCAAAGCCACGCTTGCAAACCTTCGGTTGTCTATGTGTGCTTGACAGGTTCACAACCAAGAGCAAGGGCTACCAACAGTGTCACCACATGGAAGGCTTTTCCTTGTAAGCCTTTAGCAGTTTTCCCTGGAGAGGGACTAGCTCTTCAGAAGGGGCAGCTTACCTCCCACGCCTGGCAAGCTGGTCCCGCTTGGGTCATTGGGATGTGGCGCTGAAGGTGGATCATAGCCGATCACTAAGTCAATGGTGGCCTGGGTAGAAAAATCCATAACAGAGTCAGTGCAAGGAATCCAAACATTAGACGCAGCCCAAATCAACTCCGCTGGAATGAAAGTCTTAGAAGGAGCGAGCAGGGGGCTAGCGAAGGAAGAACAGGAAGTACGAAGAATGACGCGTGTTCATCCTCAATTGTTTACATCTTCCCACCTGTGAGTCAAGGTGGGGTGGGAGAAAGCAGACTCCTGGGAACGGAGTTGCCTGGAACAAGTTGCCAAGTGGATCATTGCCAAGGGGCAAACTCATAGTCTTGAATAAAGCTATGACTAGCCAGTTTGAACTTGTCATTAGGCTCCTGCTTAGACTGGGGATGGCCAGGTGCATGGTTCCAGAGACTCACTTTAAATTGTGGGTTTATTTGTTTGCTTAAAATGTGTATGCACTGTGATTCATTCAGTAGAAATAGAACTGTGGAATCAAGACTGATTAAAGAGGAAACAACGTGTAAATCATCAAGTTTAACATAATTGCCACCCATTTTTACACAAAATGTGGTCCCAAAGATACCAAAGAATGAAGGCAAACAAATAAAACAGAAAATGTTATCTAAATGTCAGTATCAGACAGGAGGAGACGTACTCGTTCCTTATAATAAAGTTGCCCTGCTTGTGAAATCTGAGATACATTTCTCATATAGGGCATTATTTTAGGGCAGAGTGTTTTAGGCTTTTATATTTCACCAACCTACACATTTTCAACCACAACCAAAAAATCACTAAGGGGCTCCGCATGAGGGTGCTAGCTTTTACTTTTGTCAAACACAGCTACCATCTACTGTGGTCATTATTTCATAGAAGGAGGCATTTTGACACCACCACCAAGGGCGAGCGGATCTCCGAACAAGGAAGCCATGTGCAAATAGATCTGTTCTTCAAAACCGGTGTAAATTGGCGTCCCTTTCTTTCTGCGGGGGTGGGGGCATTTTATTATTTTTTTAAAATCATTTTATCAGGGGCTCTTACAACTCTTATCACAATACATACATATATCCATTTTGTCAAACACATCTGTACATATGTTGTCACCATCTTTTTCAAAGCACTTTCTTTCTACTTGAGCCCCTGGCAACAGCTCATTTTTCCTCCTCCCTCCACCACGCCCCCTTGATAATTTATATTCTTTTTTTTTTATGTCTTGCACCGACCGCTGTCTCATCTCACCCACTTTTCTGCTGTTCATCCCCCTGGCATGGGGGCCAAACGATCATTGTGATCACCTCCCCCTCACCCTCCTAGTATCACTGCTCCCCTTATTGGTCCTGAGGGGTGTATCTGTTCTGGATTCCCTGTGTTGTGAGCTCTTATCTGTACTAGTATACATGTTCTGGTCTATGGTAGGTTGGGGGAGTTGGTGGGGGGCGGGGAGCATTAAAGAACCAGAGGAAGGTTGTGTTTCATCAGGGCTATTCTACACCCTGTCTGGCTCTTTTTGAACCTTTGCTTAATAATGGCACTTCCAAACCACTCAACAAAATGGAAACTACTCACCCCCGTCTCGTGCCCCCTTTCATTTAGCAAGGGGGTGAGTTTGTAGGGCAGCGATCTGCTCTGGTCGCCAATCAAGTCCTTCAGGGATACCGTTGCTGTGCCAATTAACCTGCAGGAGAAATGACAAGGCACACAGTAAGAAGTGCCCTTCCAGGTACTCACCAGGCCTCCCAATGCCATGCCATTTCAGCCTCATCTGGGACAACTGAAGTCAACTCGTAATGGAAAGTGGGTCATGTTCATGATATTTTGGCAGTGAGCCCCTTCTCCAAGCAAGGAGTCATCTTGAGAGTCAAGTGGCTACGAAATTTCAACCGGTCACGAGTGAGGGAGATGGGCACGAGGCGGTGATTCACTAGGAACCAAACCAAGTCCATTGCCATCAAGTCTGTTCCAAGGCAGAGGCCCCTCCATTGGGTTCCCCAGACTGTAAATCATTACAGGAGCAGGCAGGCTCACCGCTCTCCTCAGTGGGGTTGGAAGGCTCCTTACTAGTAGGTATTTCGTAGATATTTATTGGATGAAGGAAAGAATAAATCTAGAGATGTTGAAAACGGATATCTAGAACACTTTTATAATTAGGGCTCATCATAAAAAAATTCCAGTATCTCAGGAAAGTTAGTCGATGTGAAAAAAAATGTAGCTAGTGGTAAATAGTCCAAAAATTGGAGATTGTACACAAAACATGATGAGAATGAGTGAATTGAAGAAGATCCCTTTGTGAAAGCCATCAAATTGGTAAAGAGATCCCAGGCTATATTCTCAGGCTGAATACTGAAATAGGAAAAGATAAATAGTAAGATTTCAAAAATATGATTTATTAAACCTTGCCTACAATCAATGCTCATGGAAGCAGAAGTGATCAAACAACCCATTGCTTTGGGCAAAATGCTGCATTAAACCTCTTTAAAGTGCTGAAAAGAAAAAAATGTTACTTTGAGGACGAAAGTGGGCCTGACCCATCCCCTGGTATTTTCAATTGCCTCATGTGCTTGTGAAAGTTGGACACTGAATGCAGAAGACTGAAGTAGAATCAATGCACATGTATTCTGGTGCTGCTAAAGGATATTGGAAATTCCATGGATTACCAGAAGAACCAACAAATCTATCTTGGAGGATGTGGTAGTCACCTGATCTGGTGTCAATTTAAGGATTAAGCGTGTAAGGGGTGGAGTCTAGGCTGTCAATCTGGAAATAGCCAATGACACTTCTGTGGGCATGGCCTTCTCCTGAGAATTCTGGGAAATCTGGTACTTCCTCCTTGGATGTGGGAGACATCTCTCTCTCTCTCTCTCTGAGACTCCCTGGGAGACATTGCAGAAGACAAGCCACATGGATGCAACCAGACCTCGGAAGCTAGAGAAGCCACAGAGAGACCCCTGCTAACACTGAGATGTTTCCAATGCCACTGGATCCAAGGACTTTCTACCCACTGGCTTGTGATTGTCTTGCATTTGGCGTCATTGCATGTGTTTTGTAAGACCGAAGAGGACTTTATAGATTGATAACAGAAATATGGGCTAATATCAGACTTATGGACTTGATCTGGAGTGGGCTGGGATGTTTTCTCAATGTTCAGTTGCTCTTGTATATAAACCTCATACTTACACACGTGTCCATGGATTTGTTTCTCTAGTCTACCCAGACTAACACAGAGGACGTACGGCCAGAATGCTCCTTAGAAGCAAGGATGAGAAGACCCCATCTCACAGTTTCAACATGTTGCCAGGAGAGACCAGCCCCTGGAAAAGGACAGCATGCTTGGAAAGTAGAGGGGAAGTGAACAAGAGTAAGGCCCAGAACAAGGCGGACTGGCCCCGTGGCTGCCACAACGCGCTCAGACCTAAGAACCACTGTGAGGGTGACGCAAGACCAGGCAGCGTTTGGTTCTGTTGCACCCAGGCTCGCTCTGAGTCGGAACCGAAGACGGCAACTAACAGCTGAAGCGGCTCTATACCAACGACTAGAGCCCAAATCTTCAGCTTAAAAGTCGGAAACTCAGCATCAAATCCTGAAAGTGGCAGAAAAGACTGCTTCTACTAAAAAATCTAGAATAAGGAACCTATAGAGGAGCATGACATAAAAACTCTGGGCTTCCTGGCAAAAAAAAGAAGAAGGTTCATCTTGAGAAATATCCATTTCATTTTAAAATTAGTACAGGTTCTTTAAAAACCAGGAAGTGAAAGTTAGTGCCTCCTTGAGCCTATCAGGTTTTAATTGACACCCACTTATGTAATACCACACAGTTCTCCCCTCCTCAGGCCCCATCCCGGTCAGAAACATAACCGCACACATGCAGCAACTTGGTAGTACGAAAACATGGCTCTGCTCTCTGCGAAGGGCTATATTACAGTGCACAGGACTGGGGGTTGCTGTGACCCACTGCGTCGCCCAAATGATCATATCGTATGAATTGTGAATAAGTGGCATGTTAGAAAAGTATGCCTTCGTGTGCAGGCAGCCACACAAGACACTCAACCAGACTGATGAACACTCCGTTCTTCCAATATCTCCAGCGCGGTCTATTGTGGACAGTGGAAAAGAGAAACACTCTTTTCCTCCTGAGAGACTGGAGTGAACTGTCCCCTCCCCTTATAGGTGGACAGAGAGACCTGGTTTCCCAGAACAAAGGGGACCTTACAGAGGACAGTGGGCATGTAGAAGTGGTAGCACATCGAGATGCCTCCTTCATTGACTGGGCCTTAAAGAGCGACTGGGGAAGCAGGGGCGTACTTGTCTTCCTAAGGCACATTCTGCTCTCTGCACTCATGGAAGGGCAGCCAGCAAACACATCAGCATGGTGCTTGGCCTACCACCAGTTCTGTAGGCTCCTGCTGAGGTCAGGGCTGCCTCTGGGCTCCAGAGGTCATGGGGACCTCAGGAACGGCTAGGAGATAGGAGTCAGGCCGATCTTGCCATCACTTTGGCAGTGGCGAGCTGCCCTCCTATACCAGGAAATTCTCCCCCGACTCATTCCCGTCTACCTGGCAGGCTGCAGTGTTCACTGAGGGTTCAAGAGCAGGGTCTGCAGGCCAGCCGATGGCCCCTGAACAATGTGCAGACAGCCAAGCTGGATTGAGGGTCCTCAGAACACTCTCATCCCTACCAGCCAGGAATTGTTTAATATCCCGTCTATACCTATGAGGAATTTTTTTAAATGAAAAGCAATGAACCCAAGCCAAACATAAACAAAAGCCCTGCCATCCGTTCATGATTTCAAGCACGTCACATACAATTACCATCGTGATGAACTGGGAATGCCAATTCCTTGGATTACGATGAAGTGAGTTTCGACAATGGCCAAGCCGTTGTCTTGTGCTATTCTTGGGCTGTTTACACAGATGTGTTTTCTCCTCACTTGGACTTTTATTCCTCTTTTTAAGGACAAGGGTCGACACAGGACTATCTATCAGATGCCACAGCCCAACTCCCACACAAAGCCAGCATCCCTGGTGAAATCCCTGTCAGCTCTCCCTTGGCCGAGGAGAAATACTTGCCCTGGTTTTAGAGCGGGCAGTGGGCCACGCGAGGCCTGGGTGGCTAGCTGGGAGTGAATAAGAACAAGATGTGAACACGTCAGGTTTCAAAGTCATCTGACGGGTATCCGAGGCCCAAGGGAAGCATTCCCCTTGAGACATGTGGCCACATACATGGGATTTGCTTCCTCATAGCTCCCAGGATTCACAGTCTACCTGTATGAGTAAGAGAATCGCGCTGCACACTCAAACGTGTACTGATGTGTTCTCGCTGAAGCCGAAATGACCTGAATCTCTGTCGGCGAGAAGAAATCTCAGAACAAACAGTACAGCGTGTTGGAACGGCGCGAGCCTGGGGTTGGGTCAGCATTTCTCAACCTCTGCAGGATTGGCATTTGGACTGGTGCCTTCTTTCTGGTGGAAGGCTGCCCTGCGGCGTGGCACATGCTTAGCTGCATGGCTGGCTTCTCCCCACTAGGGGACAGCAGGAGGCTCCCAGGTAGGCTAACCCAAGCACCCCACCTTCGCCAATTGATCCCGGGGATTTGCAAAATCACCCTTTGAGGCCCAGTAGGCGAAACAGGGCCTCACTGGGGTTGATGATGCTTAAGCACTTTATTCCAGAGTCTTCTGAGGCGCTGGCAACGTCTTCCAACTCTCCAGGCCTGTTTTATTATTAGCAGTAAGTCGATGGAAGAAACGGTTTCTCCTTCTTTCAGCCCTAAGTGTCTGCAGTGAGGCTTGTATGTGTGATGCTCTGATCGACGTCTATTTAGGAAAACCCTCCTGTGCGCACTTCTCTTCAAGTCCATACTCTGAGTCAGGGGGAAAGACCCTGTAGACGCCTTCCAGGTTGGACACTCCACAAGGCGCAGCAGGGGGTTGCTGATCACACCGAGGGCAATCTAAAATCCGTCCAGGGATGAAGGGAGGAAGGTGAGATGCACATCAGAAATGAAGACTGCAGCGATGGTGAGATAACAGGGCTGGTGGGACCACGGGCTAACAAGGGAAAACAAGCCACCTGCTGGCCCTTTATAGCCCTGCGTGGTTTACAACCTCCATTCGGACTCAGTTTCTGCTTTCCCTCCTCTCGGAGAAGGTCCTGACAGCTAGCTGACCAGGAACGGAGTCAGAATAAAAGCACCCGGCTGGAAAATCTAGCCACAGTTTCCTCCTGTGGGAGAAACTCAGTTCTCAAATTTTGTTTTTATATCATAAAATTGGGGCTGGGAATAGAAAAGAAAAGTGTACAGGTGTGGGTGTACTCATTATCTTTACTTCAGAAAAATGACATATATACATATCTACACATGTATACATAAAAAGTATACCCACATCTATTTTTTTCTGAAGTAAAGAGAGTGAATCTGAAGAAAGAAAAAAATATATATAGTGAATCTAGAAAGAAAGCCTAGAAAGATTTAAATTCTCAAAATATTTTTACAGCTCAGCTGTGTGAAGAAAATCGCCAGCCGTTACAACTTCTTGGAGCTCTAACTTCGAACTGAAGAAAACATTGCCTACAAGCATGTCGGCTTTGACTCAGAGGACACGCCTGGCCTGGCCTGTTTTCTTGCTGTTGCCTGGACACAAAACACTGTGGGAGAGTGGGAAGTGATGACTTGGCCTC